CCTTATCGCATCGTTGCGGCGTCTCAAAAGGCGCCTCGCAGGGCGCGCCGTGTATTTTGTGGGCCAAGCGCGGCAAGCCAGTCGCGCACAGCAGTGTCGCGCACACAGACGCGGATTGAGTGACCGGATTATTTTTATTTTTTTTAGTAATAATAATTTGGAATCACGCTGCTTTGCAGGGGCGTCGGATTTTATTTTAATGGGCTTTTCCGGTTAAGTGCATTTGCACAGAGCGGGAGTTTGTGGCGAGCACGCGGACAAGAGTGAGTGAGGCAAGGCAATAGGCATGGCAACATTCAACACCCCCTCTCCTCCCCTCCCTGTATACACTTTGATAGAAACAATAGTCATAATAGGGTCATGTCAGCAGCCGCACAGGGACCTGATAACTATCTGCATAAGGCAAACAGCTTAACTCAGGAGAGGCTGAAAGCAGCCGTGATTTATGAGCTACCTGAGGAGTGCAGGTATTTATTCCACTTTTACACGTTACCCGTTTGAAATGCATTTTCCAAAAAATGATAATAATTTGGTCACTCAATCCATGACTGTTTGTTGGACACTGCTGTGCACAGTTGGCTGCTGTGTTTCACCCACCACAAAATATACAGTTAATCCACTTTACAATATATTCTGTGAAATCCTTTGAGATGACTCGACGACGGGAAAAAGCGCAGTATCAAATGCAAGGATTATTTTTAGGGAATACACCTATTTATTAATGAGATGGTTTGCCCTCCCCCTCCACAATCTTTCCACTTCCACTTCAGGAGCCAACCTGACCACTTACACACCCTTTTTAACTCCTATTGCCTTGCTCTCACAATTTTAACAGCGCCTAGGGATGTTTTTGCGATGTGAAAGGCGCTACACAAGTGTAATTTGTTGTTGTTCCTTTCTCCACTTACCAGGAACTCCCCAGGCTTTGTTCTTGTGCTGTACACAAGACACAGGGTGGGGGTTCTTTCCTGGACAGGACAGGCTGATAGGGTATAATATTTTAATAGTAATAATCTTTGCATTTGATATAGTGCCTTATAATAATAATAATATTATTATAGCACCTTATCACGTCATTTGTGATGTCTCAAAGCGCCTCACAGAATGTACTGTAAAGTACAGTGACTATTTTGTGGACAAAATGCCCACAAAAATATCTCACCCACAATATCTCCTCTGTGCAGTTTGGGGTCAGTCCTGAGCAGGTGTTCAGTTCCACACTGCCCATTCTTCACATAGATTAGCACCGAATTGGAGACCAGTTGAATGGTGAGAGCTAAGAGGTCCACCTGGCTGACTCCAGTGTTAAAATATGCAGCAGGGAATGGAGGTTGGGCAGAGAAGTGCACAGGTAAACGTTGGCTGGAGTTGGGAGCAGTTTCTCTGTCTATCTACGTGTTCTATGTGCTTCTTGTAAGATGTATAACTGGACCCTAAAACTTCAAAAGAATATGTATATTCACTTATAGTTGCACGAGAGCTGTCACACATCAGTGACGAGTGATAATAATAATCCTTGCATTTGATATAGCGCCTTATGTCGTTGAGACGCCTGACTTTATTTTAGTATTTTGTGGATGCAACACGGCAGCCAGTTTGCAGGCAGCAATATCCCACAAACAGTCGTGGAGTGAGTGACCAATTTTATTTGGGGGATTGTTGGCTACCAGGAGAGAGAAACTCCCTTTTCTTTTCAAATAGTGCAATGGGATCTTTGACATCCACCTGAATAGGCAGACGGAACCTTGGTTTAATGCTTTATACGGAGAGGAAGAGTCTTAATTCTCCCCCAACCCCCCCCCCACCAAAAAAAAATAATTTGGTCACTTACTCCAAGACTGTTGTGGGATACTGCTGTGGTCACATTGGGAGTCCAGTAGCATATTTGTTAGCACACTCACCTTGCAAGTGAGAGGACCTGGGCTTCATTCCCGGGTGGGGCGAAACCATAGATAAATTTCCTTACTCCACCCAACTCTTTTTACCAAGCTGTAAGTAAGAGCACAGTTGTTAGTCGTTTGGCGAATTGCTTTCGATGGTAATAATCCCTTAAAAAAAACAATAATTTGGTCACTCAATCCGCGACTGTTTGTGGGACATGGCTGTGCACAATTGCTGTCGTGGTTCGCCCACAAAATACACATTCAATCCAGTTTGCAATACATGCTGTGAAGCGCTTTCAGACATCTCACTGACGTGATAAGGCGCTATATCAAATGCAAGGATTATTATTATTCCTGGGGCAAGGTGTAATGGAGAGGGGAGGCTGTGGAGGAACCGGACTTGCTGATCTCTCTGTCTTTCTCTCTCTAGGATCTGGTGGGAAAGAGCGTGTGGTGTGCCAGGGCTGTGAGCGGGTGATCGGGGACCGCTTTTTGCTGCGGGTTAATGACAGCTTCTGGCACGAGCAGTGTGTGCAGTGTACGGGCTGCCGGGAGCCACTGGCCATCACCTGCTACTGCAGGGACAAGAAGCTATACTGCAAGCATGACTATGAAAAGTGAGTAAGAAACACAGAAACAAGCTCCACAAACATACACAGACGCACCCTGTGGGGGTGTGTGAGACGAGGCACACACATCAGAGAGGGAGAGAGACCCCAGCAATTGCCAATAGCTTGCTTGACTTATGCACTGGAACAGTCTGGATGGGGAGTGACTTGTCTTCTGCTATTTTGCTGCTTCTCTTTCTCTCCCTCGTGTCCATTATCACTCTCTGATCTGACACATACAGTATTCTTGCCCTCTATAGCTCTGACTCTCTGAGCTCTCTTTCTCTCTCTCACACACATGCACACACTTTATAAGCTCTCTCTAAGCAACGGGTTAACTTTCTTGCTCTCTCTCTATACTCACTCTCTGTATTTTCTCCTTTTCTCCGTGCTATGGGTTTTCTCTCACTTATGTCGTGCACTTCTCTCTTTCACTCTGTCTCTCTCCCCGTGTCACAGCTATATATCTCGCATGTTTATCTCTCCCATGTCAGGAGCTCTGTTGTTGTCTCAGGTGCATGTTTGCGCTTGCAATGTCTTTGGCACAGGCTCTGGTACCTTTTGCGCACACACACATGCTCTCAAACACACGTACACACACTCTCAAACACACACCCTCTCTCAAACATACACACACTCTCTGAAACTCACACATCTCTTGTGAAATGCTCTCTCACGTACTTTGGTTTACTCTGGTGCAGACTCTTCCTCTTTCGCTGTCCTATTTTTCCTCTCGCATTCTCTCTCCGTCTTTCATTGTCAGTCATACCTTCCAGTAGTGTGATTTAGCAATTGGGGTATAAATTGCTCACTAACAGTATGGTGGGCACAGATTTAACATTCTCCGGGCAAACTGTTGAGCAGTGACATGTAGTGAGCATAGCTCTGTGAGTTAGGGATGTTTCAGTTCATTCACTGAATTTAGTGAGTGTAAAATAACAACGGTGAATATTGCTCTTTAATTATAGAATTAGCACACTTTTGGGGTGTACATTGCTACATATTGTTCACCAATGTTATAATGAACACAGCTTTGGGGAGTGTGAAACGATAGTGCTTATGTTTGCTAATGTTACAATTAACACAATTTAGAGGAGTGTGACAGAATGGTGCATATTTTTCACTAATATTATTGTGAAACCACATCTTTAGAAGTCAGAAATAATGATGCATATTGTTCACTGTTACAGTACAATTTTGGGGGAGCGCAAAATAATGGTGCCTATTGTAATCACTCTTGTTATTGTGAACACAGCTTTATGTGTGTAAAATAATGGTGCAAATTGTTCACTAATTTCATAGTGAAAGCAGCTTTTGGTGGGTGAAAGGATGATACATATTGTTCAGTAAAGTTATACTGAACATAATATTGGATATGGTGCACATTATTCACTAATTTTATAGTGAAAACAGATTTTCGAGTTTGGATTAAGGGTGCATATTGTTTACTAATGTTATAGTGAACATAGTTTTCATTGAGTGTGAATGGGTATGTTCGTGCATATTTTTCACAAATTGTACTGTGAACATTTGAGGAGTGAAATAACGTGGTGCTAATATTGCATGAGTGATATAGTGAACAGAATTATGGGGAGTGTGAAATAATATTGATGCAAATTGTTCATTACTTGTGGGAACACAGCCACGGGGAGTGTCAAACATAGTGAGCTGATTGTTCACGAATGCCTAGAAATTATGGTGAAAACTTGGTGTATAATGTGTACTAATGAGCAGATCTGACAAGCCAGACTACAGAAACTGAGGTTCACTAACCAACACTGGATGGAGGTGGGTTAATGTTTAAGATTATTATAGACAGCCTCTGTACATACCGCATAGTGTTTCAGCAAATTACAATGAATCAGCAAAAACTGTTGTATGACTTTGCCCGTGGTTATTTTTGTGGGTCAACACCCATGAAAATAACTTGGGACAATATGGAAGAACAGCAATGTTGGTGTGTGTTGTTCACTATTGTGATTACTGCTACAGCAGGTTTGAAATAGTGGTCCATTTATAGGTAATGTTGAGTCAGCCCGACCCAGGGATAGCGCTGTTGTGTCTGAGTTAGTAGGTGGTAGGTTCAAGGCCCATTACGGCACTTGGAATTACATAATCTAAACTGATGCTCCAATGCAGTACTGGGGGTGTGTTTCATTGTCGGAGGTTCTGTTCTTTGGATGAGATGTTAAACCGAGGTTCCATCTGCCTGTTCAGGTGGATGTTAAAGATCCCATAGCACTATTCGCAAAGAGAAGAGAGTTTCTCTCTCCTGGTCACTGGCCAACAAATCTCCCAAATAAAATTGGTCACTCACTCCATGGCTGTTTGTGAGAGATTGCTGTGTGCAATTGGCTGCCACGTTTTGGCCACAAAATACACTTTACAGTACATCCTGTGAATCGCTTTGAGACGTTGCAAAGACATGATAAGGCGCTATATCAAATGCAAGGATTATTATAATTACTAAGTAAACCAGTGATTGTGTATATCTGCTATACTTGGATCAAGTTCAGTTCAACATGTCTGTTGAAGATTGGCAGGGAATGTTGCTTATTATCTCACATGGTTCACTTTGTGTTTAATACAGAAGTTATTCCAGATATTTCAGAAATTCCCTTCAGCTGGAATGCAGCAATAAACCAAGTGACTTTCTCTGGCTGGCTAAGTGTGGCTAGTGTAACTGTAGCGACTTCCCCGTCGTGGCAGCTGCTAAACATCTGGGACTTTAACCACAACAAGCTGGAAAACCACCAACTTAGTCGAATAAACCAAACCTCTTTATTGCGGTCAGGTCCTCATAACCTGGGTGTGTGCACCTACACACCCACGCTCTACCTGCTCGTCCTACTATCAGTGCACACACAGACACATACACACATACACAAAATCAACCAATGCGCACATTCACTGTATCCACCCCACATTCTAACGAGATTCATGATATGGAGGTAAGCCCTGGAAGACTTCTGTTTCTCTGTAACTCAAGTGTGCTGAGGCAATAGTAACACCTCTACCTGGTTTGTCTGCAAACACTTTTTGTCCGAAGCTTCGAGCCCTACCCTTGAGCTCATAATCCAGGTTGATGCTCCAGTGCAGTACTGGGGGAGCGCTACATACTTGGAGGGTGTTGACCTTCAGATGTTAAACTGAGGTGTCAAATCTCTATTCAGATGGGTGTAAAGATCCTGTGACATTGTTTGAGAAGAGAAGGGAGCTTCTCCCAGTATACTGGCCAAAAGTCATTCTGACAAATCATTCACTTCATGACTGGTTGAAAGCTGTGCTGTATGCAAAGGGACTGCTACATTTGTCCACAAATACACCGTTGATATGCTTAACAGCAGTTCTTTGAGGTCCTGTGATGGCTCAGTTGCTAAATGCACCTTGTGGTGTGGGATTCAGCCATGCGGACTAGAGGAGGCCAGATTCCTTTCTGGTCTGTGTTAATGGAGGAAGGATTCGGTGTTGGAGTATTGTAGATGTGATTAAAAGCCAGGGCTATAATTCAAGAGACAAGTAGCAGCAGGGTACTTCATGAGAACCAAATGGCTGAGGTTTCCAGCTTTGCAACACACTGCTTCTCTGGCCATTTCACTCAGTAGATGCCTGGAGGATGCAATACTTTTGTCTATAGAAACGTAGACAAAAGATGTGACTGGTTTGAAAGTTCTATCCCATCGGTGCTGTTTCTATCTTACTTTAACAGCAACGACCGCGCAGGTTTACGAGGATGATATGAGGGTTGGCAGGTTACTGTTCTCAGACTGGATAGGTTAGGCCTTTTTTGCGCTTGGAAAGAGAAAGTTAAGGGGGACCTATTAGAGGTGTTTAAAATTATTAAGGGTTCAATAAGGTTAACAAAGATAATCTGTTTCCACTGACTGGGAAGTCGGTAACAAAGAGACACAAATCTAAGATAGTGACTAGAGGATCTAAAAGGGAATTTAGGAGGAACTACTTCACACAGAAGGCAGTGAGATTGTGGAACTCGCTGCTGGAAGCAGTGGTTGAACAGATAGTGTGGATGCATTCAAGAGGAAGCTAGACTTTCACATGCGAGAGAGAGGGGAACAAAAGGGTATGGGAGGAACTAAGGAACGGGTGGAGACTTGTGTGGAGTATAAACACCGGCACAGACTGGTTGGACCGAGTGGTCTGTTTCTGTGCTGTACAACCTTTGAAATTCTCTTTGTAGTACAACAACAATTTGTATTGTATATAGCGCCCTTCATGTGGGGTAGTGTCTCGGAGTGCATAACAGAGGTGACATGCACAGTCACTACGCTTGACAGCAATTACCTGTGAAGCGATTTGTGATATTTTGGCACTGTGAAACACTGAATAAAAATCCAAGGATTATTACGTTCTATGTTTTCCCCTATCAGTCTCACATTTCTGTCTGTCTGCTCATCTCGATCTGATTCTCAATCTTTAATCTAGTATATTTCTGTCAATTATCAGTCGATCTGGTTGTCTGTCTGTCTACCCATCAACTGCTCGATCCATTGCCAATTATCTCTGCTTTGCACCAATGTACGTTTGTACCATCTGTATGTATCTTTCTATCTGTCTGTGTGTCTATATATCTTTCTGTACATCGATGTCTGTCTATCTGTTTGATTATTTAGTTGTAGAAAGATCTGCGGAGTGTTTGTGGTGCAAAATAAACAGGTTGTTTTTTTTTAGATGACTTTCCCTTTTTATGTTGGTGTATTTAATAGGAAACACAACTCCTTTCTCTCTGTTCTCCACTCATTGTGTTGCTCACAATTAATAGCTGTTTGTCGGTGGGGATACACATCAGCCCAGTGCCTGTGGACTGAGGTGTGCAGGGAGGCAGCTGGAGTGTGTTTGAACAGATGACACAAGCAGTTGAATGGCTCAAAGGATAGGGAGATACTCGTCTCCTTCTCCAGAACAAACAGTGCGTTTCCTTCATGCTGGTATCTTTAAAGCTGCTTTCCCTGGTGTTGATGTGAGTCCTGCCTTCAGAGGATCTCAGAGGC